GGCGGCGAGCGGGCAGGGCCACGTCCTGCGCTTCTGGGCCGAGCTGGACGGCGTAGCCCGCCGGGCGCTGGCGGCGGAGCTGCGCGATATGGACGTGGCCGAGATCAACCGCTTCTTCCACCGCGCCCGCGGGGACGGTGGCGGCGGCGGTGGGTCGGCGGGGCTGGACGAGCGGATGGAGCCGGTGCCGCGGGACGTGCTGGGCAGCGCCTGCCGCGACCGGGAGCTGCTGCCGCGCTGGGAGAGCCGCGGTAGGTGGCGGGGGTGGCGGGGCCCGGCGCGGTGCAGCGCTTAGCGCCGGTGCGGAGGGCCCCACGCGTGTCTGCTCTCCCTCCCCGGCGCAGGGCTGGCGGAGATCGCGGCGAGCCGAGTGGCCGTGCTGCTGCTGGCCGGCGGGCAGGGCACCCGCCTCGGCGTCCCCTACCCCAAGGGCATGTGCGACGTGGGGCTGCCCTCCCGAAAGACCCTCTTCCACCTCCAGGCCCAGCGCCTGCGGCGGCTGCAGCAGCTGGCGGAGGAACAGCACGGCACCCCCTGCCACATCCCCTGGTGAGACCCCTGCCCTCCCGCTCGGTGGGTCAGTCCTCCCCTGGGATGGGTCAGTGCCCCCCCTGGGTTGGCTCTGGTGGGGCAAGGCGTGTGAGGTGGTGTGGGCAGGTCATTGGCAAGACCCCCATTAGTGTCAGCCCAAGTGGTGTTGGTGGGTCAAGCTCCTGTAGGCTGTCCTTGGCAGGATCCTCGGCATCCAGCCTAACTGGTGTTTGGTGGGTTAAGGGTCTGTGGGTTGGTGTTGTTCCACTGGTGTTGGCTGAGCCAAAGCCTCGTTGGGTTGGCCTTGGTGGGTCAAGGTCTTGTGGGTTGGTGTGGACCCCATTGGTGCCTGCGGGCCGAGGATCTGTGGTGCCTCTTGACAGCAGCACTATTGCTATGGGCATAGCCTGTTGGAGTTTTAGTGGGTCAAGGCCCCGAGGGTGGCACCAGCAGGTCCCACATTGTCAGGCTCAACCCTATGGCCCTTGGGAACACTTGTGGTGTCACCTGTGGTCATCCTGCTACCACACAAGGCAGGGGCCTGGGGGGGGAGGGACTATAAGCAGGAGGTTGGCATCGTGGTGGGAACTGGCTGTTGCAACTGGGTGTCTCCCCCACTGCATAGGGTGTGGTAGGGTTGTGGAGATGCGTCTTGCAAGGAGCCCTTCGTTGGCTTGCCAAAGAGGTGGGACCACAGAGGGTCAGATCCTTCTAAATGTCTGGGGGGGAAGGAAGCCTCTCCTGGGTGTTACAGGCTGAAGGGGTTCCCCACATTTGGGATGAGGGATGTGAGACCCTGCTGCTCCTCCCTGCTTATCAGGTCTCTTCTGCGCCCTGACAGGTACATCATGACAAGTGGCCGGACTATGGAGTCCACCAAGGAGTTCTTCCTGAAGCATCACTATTTCGGCTTGAAGAAGGAAAATGTCATCTTCTTCCAGCAGGGCATGTTGCCCGCCCTGGGGTTTGATGGGAAAATCCTGCTGGAGGAGAAGGGCAAGATTGCCATGGCGCCAGGTCGGTGGCCGGGAGCTGGCAGGAGGGGTGCAAGGGGGTGAGACACGGTGCTGAGGACAAGCTTTTGGAGCTGGAGCCTGCGTAGAGCAGAGTTGCAGCGTGACGTGGCCCTCGGGTGATGCTGGCTGGGAGGCGTCCGTCTTGGCGGGGAGGACCAGGGTGGGGTATGGCCGGGCTGATGACCCTCCACCCTGGCTCCCTGGAGAAGGAGAAGATGAGCGTGGGTGGATGATGGGACAGCCAGGTGTTGCTGTGGCCCCAAAGGTTTGTTTCCTCTGCAGATGGCAATGGGGGCCTGTACCGGGCCCTGGGGGCACACGGCATCATGGATGACATGGAGCGG